AAACGCGCGAGAACTTACATGAGTAAAGAAAGTTAATATGAGTGAGAATTTCCACCCCAAACCCTGTGCAAATGGACAGTTTTCCACAAGTGAAATACACCTGTGTAGATTTGGGGGAGGGCTAAATCTAGCATCTTTAAAAAGTTAGGTAAGCATTGGTTGGGATATCCTGCACCTAAAACGCGACTGTGGCCCATCTCTAAACGCGCGAGAACTTACGAGAGAAAAGAAAGTTGATAGGGGCGAGAATCTCTCACCCAAGCACTGTCGAAATCGAGAGACTTCCACAAATGAAATACACGTGTGTAGATTTGGGGGAGGGCTAAAAGTAGCATCTTTAAAAAGTTAGGTAAGCATTGCTTGGGATCCCTGCGCTGCACCTAAAACGCCAGTGTGGCGCATCTCTCAACGCGCGAGAACTTACGAGAGAAAAGAAAGTTGATACGGGAGAGAATCTCCAACCCAAACACAATCCACATCGATAGACTTACACTAGTGAAATACTCGTGTGTAGATTTGGGGGAGGGCTGAAAGTGGCTTCTTAAAAATGTTAGGTGAGCATTGGTTGATATTCCCGCAATCAAAACGCGAGTGTGGCGCAGCTCTAAACGCGCGAGAACTTACGAGAGTAAAAAAAGTTCATACGGGCGAGAATCTCCAACCCGAACACTGCCCAAATCGATAGACTTCCACCAGTGAAATACACGTGTGTAGATTTGGGGGAGGACTACATCTAGCATCTTTAAAAAGTTAGGTAAGAATTGGTAGGGATCCCGACACCTAGAACGCGATTGTGGCGCCTCTCTAAACGCGCAAGAACGTACCACAGAAAAGAAAGTTGATGGGGGCGAGAATCTGTCACCAAAGCACTGTCCAAATAGATAGACTTCCACAAGTGAAATACACTTGTGTAGATTTGGGGGAGGGCTAAATCTATCATCTTTAAAAAAGTTAGGTAAGCATTGGTAGGGATCCCCGCACCTAAAACGCGAGTTTGGCGCATCTCTAAACGCGCGAGAACTTACGAGAGAAAAGAAAGTTGATAGGGGCGAGAATCTCTCACCCAACCACTGTCCAAATAGACAGACTTCTACAAGTGAAATACATGTGTGTTGATTTGGGGGAGGGCTAAATCTAGCATCTTTAAAAAGTTAGGTAACCATTGTTTAAGATCCCCACGCCTAAAATGCGAGTGTGACGCATCTCTAAACGCGCCAGAACTTACGAGAGTAAAGAAAGTTGATATGGGTGAGAATCTCCACCCCAAACCCTGTGCAAATGGACAGTTTTCCACAAGTGAGATACACAAGTATAGATTTGGTGGAGGGCTGAAACTAGCATCTTTAAAAAGTTAGGTAATCGTTGGTTGGGATTCCCGCACCTAGAACTCGAGTGTGGCGGATCTCTAAATGCGCGAGAACTTACAAGAGAAAAGAACGTTGATAGGGGCGAGAATCTGTCACCCAAGCACTGTGTAAATCGAGAGACTTCCACATATGAAATACACGTGTGTAGATTTGGGGGAGGGCTAAAAGTAGTATCTTTAAAAAGTTAAGTAAGCATTTGTTGGGATCGCCGCACCTAAAGCGCGAGTGTGGCGCATCTTTAAACGCGCGAGAACTTACGATGACAATTTGAAGAAAAGGCGCTGTTAGTACCTTCTTGTTACTTGATGAAAATTTTGCAGGGTTGGTTTTACCAGGGCGCTTCATGACGCCTCCTGGAATAAGCTATACCTTCCCTAGTTGAATCGTCATCAGTTTATCGTACGTTATTCAGGTTATTGATTGAAAAAACAATTATACTTTTGAACCTTAGTTCCTCCACTTTTCAGGGGATGGGGGTTGGGCTCACTTCTTTCGGAGGTTGCTACTTACGGACTTTCACGATTCGTTGTGTGTACGAGCCATTGGCCAAGCGATTGGCCAAGCCATTGGTAGCCGTGCATGGTCACCTAAAGCACCGACAATATATCTTAGCTCCATGTACTAAGTTTCTCCTCGCGCTTTTTTAATTGCCGAGCATGATAATACTGCACGTGGCTTCCACTGCCAACGACATACTTAGACAAGTATTCCAGATCATCTGGGTTTTTATTCCTAAGATCTGTTTTAGATTGATTAACTTGAATCAAACGCTCCTTTACGCCCGGACAGGCATCTCGATGCAAGCTCACAGTTTCTTGTGATGGCTTTCATTGGGTAAGCAAGACATTTACGTCTGCTCGCCGCGCTCAACATCCATTCGTAGGCACTTTGGTATCGTTAAGTTCAGTTCTTAGATCTGAACTTGGTTCAGGGGGAGAAGGAAAGGAAGGTTCATGTTGTGTAATTCGTTCATCATTGCGAGATTACTTGATTTATCGGCATTCCCGGTTTTGTCCGCTCACGTTTTTTTCCTGCCCAAGTCTTTCTTCACGTGTGTTTAGACGTGATCCCATATATAATGACCTTGTTTTGTTCCGGATTATTGGCGTCGGTGGAGTCCGCCATCATTTGAAAGCATCGGAAATGGCTCGAACGCACTATTTACTTTTAAAGCACTGTTAATATCGTGACTTCATTTTTTAAAAAGCTTGTCTCATATTCCATCGGCCCTTTCTGGTTTATTTTTTTATTTAATATCATCGACATGTCACTGAAACAGATTATGACGCCTTCTCGGGCCGCAAGACGAAGAACGCTAGTGAGAGTATGTAAGGAATGCTAGGAAATTTCCTACCATTTCTCTGCGGTACTTAGAGTAGAAGCCCCGTGCATTCCGTCATGTAATGTTGGAAGGTCTTTGACCCCGCACATCTTTTGTTTTATTCTCATACACTCTGCATGAATTACATAATCGCAATGCTGCTATTGGTTAGTTGTATGAGCGCACATAACCACCTTTTGTGTTCCGGATTTTGTGCCGGGTCAACCCCCAAAATAACCAACAAAAACATACAACAGAGAACTTTTGCAGGTTTCCTAACCATTTTCTTCTATTAACTATGGCTAGACTTATTAGCGAAGCTCTGGCAGCCCGAAGGCCCCCAAGCGGAGCACCATACCCATATAGGAAAGGAATGTAAACCCACAAATTGATTTTCTCATGGTTATCATGGCTAGGGGTATTGCTCGTGGGCGCGCACGCACGACGAGGACGACGTTGCGCAACATGGCGGTCATACTCCAATTGACCGAGACATGCAGCCTTGGTTTACGGCGTACATCTTTGATATTGGACATCCATGTTATGGTCAATTGACACCTGTCAAAATAAGGTATCCGTTGACCAGTATCACGTGACCATATTGAGAGCTCAAGCTTAGAGCTCATCGAGGTCACGTGTTTTTTAAAGTTGACCGCTGACAAAGTACTGGTTTTTCGATTGACAGCAAACCTCACCGCAAGGTCACAAAACTCAAATCAAAATTCTCGCTTATCCTGGGTTAGCTTATTCGGGCTTTCAAAAATCCGGCCCAGAAAACTCAAAGCACAAGATCACAAAACTCAAAGCAAAATTCTCGCTTATCCTGGGTTAAAGCGGTTAGCTTATTCGGGATTTAAACAATATGGCCCAGAAGCTCCGCTTTTAGGCTTGGTTGAATCTCTATACTAGGGTATCTAAAAGATAGTGATGCTGCGGCACATTCTGTTTTATGTCCAAACACAGTTCAGATCACTACGTGCTTTTGTCCCGATCCTTTGTCACACCTCGACATCGATGCGTCATCATGCATGAGATAGTGATCTGAACTATATTTAGACATACCAAGGGGGCGAGACTGCCATAAGAAATGACATGCTAAGTTTAAAATTGAGATGTCACAATTTATCGTCCAGAACTACAAACTATCAAATACTGCTTTAAAAACAAAAGCAGGAGTTGTAAAAGTCAAGCACGATCTCCTTCACATCGTTTTACAGGTAAATCAGAGCAAAACACAACCACTAACATTTCCTTCATTTAGTCAGTGTGACGTTATCTGTAGTAAATTACTACGACATATTTACACAGCGTTCAAAATTACCTTCAACAGAAGCTATTAAACCGGCAACGAGCTAAGGGAGTCAGAATCACTAAAATAGAAACTAGGTAAGGATAAGACCGATTGCGAGCAGCGAAACATTAAGAAACTCGGGTATCACGACACATCGCTTGGCCCGGCACCTTTGTCCCGAGGTTTTATGGGGAGCAGGGATGGCGCAGTGATGAAAGCGCTCGCTTCCCACCGATGTGTCCCGGGTTCAATTCTGGCCGGGTGCCATATGATGGTTGAATTTGTTGTTGGTTCACGCCTTACTCCGAGGGTTTTTCTCCAAGTACTTCCGTTTTCCTCCCTCCACAAAAACCAACACTTAAAATTTCAATTCGACCAGGATAGAGGACCTGCGATTGGTTTGAACACGTCACGTGATGTAACCGATACTGGGAAATCTCAATTTGGAGCGAAAACGCCGGCGGACCTGTTTGAAAAGCGAACAGTTCGACTGTCGGGACAGTGGCAAAGATCCAAGCATATTCCCGCGTCAAATTGATGCTGTTGTCTATTGTCAGGCGCGCCATCTGATTGGCTACCCTGGCTCCTGGGTGGGGGTAAGCGAAAAGCGCGGGAAAAAGATAATATATTTTTCTTTCGCTGTTCTCCAATCAACCGAGAGATTGGCTTGCGGAATCTTAAGCTTGTCAATCATTTAAAAGTGCTTTTTGTGAAGTTTCTGAAATAATATTACAGGAGCTACGTCATGGTTTGGCATCTTGAAAAGTTTAGCCTAAATTTTTCAAGTCCGTCGTTTGTAATCCGTGTCAATCTTCTCCATCCTTAACCACCCTTGTCTCTTTTTGGTTCATTATCTATTAAGTGCTTTCCTATCTTAGTAATTTGTTTAAGGTTTCCCTTAATTTAAAGGTAATTTTGTACATGGCCAAAGTAACTCAAAATACTGCGGCAGAGCTCCTTTACGCGCTTTTTTGCTTGAAAGCACATCTAATAACTAAGCTGCGATTAAAAGTAAACGAGCTTTCAAGAATAAGTACCTGTTTTAATATTTCGTCTGTTGAAGACTAGATATAAAGTATACATACAATCGCCACATTCAAACTACCTTGGCGATTATTATAAATTCTTTACAAAACAACACAATTATTAATTTGTTTCTAATATACGAGTTTCGTGATTAACCCACATTATTGATCCAAACAAATAAAAAGCCAAACCATGTAGAAACATCGTTGTCTATCAATCTACTTGTTAGCATAAACTGCTCGTACACACTTTTCTATGCAAAGTTCAAGATTTTATCCGAGCCATTTTTTCCACACTCGAGGATCTAAGTCAAAATACAATCAAACAACGCTCGAACTAAAATGTTAAATTTGGCGACTTAGCGGAGAACACGAGAAAAGAGCCGACAAACACCCAGCGGTCAAACGTAAGGCACGTGCGCAGTTGCCGCCAAAATCGCCGCTTCCAAAATGCCACTCAAGTAATGAATTCTCGACTTCCAGGCTTCAAGACCGTTAATTAAAACGCAATCTGTGGATACGATTGCTTTGGCATTGTGTATTTAGTAGTAACTTACAAAATTTAAGTCATTAAAAATCTTAAATATTTTCTTCGCTTGACCGCCGTGTTTGTTGGAACTCAATTACCAGTCACGCTGACCAAACTGAGCCTGCATTCCGACGAACATAATAGTGGCCTTCCAAAGAATGCTCGCCTAAGAAGCGCAGTATTTCTAACAGTATAACACATGATTTTGGCTTTTTTACATGCTTTGCGATATAAATTTACAAACGCGCGACTTTCCTCGTTTTATGCTCCGCTAAAACAGTTCTAAGCCAACCAAAACGCATGTAATATTCGATCTGCATTATCAAAATGAAACTATTCCAAGGCTTTTTTATTGTTCTATTTTCGCTTTGGACAAAAAAAAAAAACAAAAAAACAAAAAAAAACACGACACTACAACTCACCTGCACGTTTTACCAAAACAGTGTTGGGTTTGAAGAGATAAACCATAAATACTGTGTCCTACAATTTCTTTTTTTGGGGCCAAAGCTAATATAAACTATATTGTAACCACGGGATGTACTTGTTGTCTATTTCGAGCGGTCCTGGGACCAACCGTGTCCCCATCGAGGAGATTACACGTACTACAGGGCCAATATGGCGATTATTCATATACGTATATATATAAAATTCTATCAATTTTCTGTAATTTCAAATTACCATTATCAAAAATTTACCTTTTCATAATTTTTAAGTACAACGTAACTTAGTCTCATTAAACGTTTGATCACTATCGACCGAAGCATTAAATTCCACGAAAGAACGAAGATTGTCCGGATGGACCGAAGTGTTCCCGAAGAGTTCCGAAGAGCTCTGATGATGATCCGAATCTGGTTGTTTGACAAATCCAGCGACCTTTGCATTTGAACAATTTTTCAGGTTCTAGAAAGTTGAAATATCTTCCTGATTTGCGACGCTCGTTGATTGTGGACATTCCGTTGCTTGTTACTTCATTATCCTGTGTGACTCTTTCAATGTTGCCTTCGTGTAGCTGTTCTATGATAATATTCCTCGTGACACATGACTTGTGTATATATGAGCTGATTACGTGACATTTACATTCCCAAGATGCTGTTTCCAAATCTTGTCATGTGGCTTGCTTGTGTAACTCCATTGCGTTACGATGCGTTACGTTACGTTACGTTACGTGGATGAAGTCATAGATCTGTTGAGTATGTTAACTAGAATGCTTGATGGCCAGTCCTTAGAGATTTCTCCGAATAAGTGGCACTCATTGTGTACTCCTCCAGTTTGTCGTAGTACAAGACCAAATGACCTGACGAACAACAACAACAGAATTATCAAACACAACACAAAACAGCAAACTCCAGGGGGGGGGGGTATCCCACTCCTGCTAACACCCCTCCTCCTCCTCTTAACACCCCCTTCCCACTTCCCGCTTTCCTTCCTCCCCCCTTACCCCTCTCCGCGCTCCTGTCAACTCAGTTTCTAAAACCGATTCCCCCAAATCGCCATACTTTTTTATATTCATGTAGATAGTCCTTCGTACTCAACCTCTTCTTTTCCCTCTCTCGGGTATAAGGGACCGGTCATTATTTATCGCCTAAGGGGGGGGGG